TTATTTCGTGTTTAATTGGACATGTTGGTTTTATATGAGAATTTATTACGAGATTTTGTTATTATGCAATTGTAAAAACCAAACAGATGATGTAAGGAGAATAACACAATTGTTATTAATTTTTTCTTTCAGGATAATAAGCATAGGGTTAAATCAAATTAATTAATTTATACCATTATATCAAATAATTAATAAATTATATAATATATAAGCTATGCTCAAAATTAATTAATCTTGATAAAACTAGCCATTAAATAATGAAGTCAATTACAATGAGATATTAAATTATAATCTTTTACATTTTTATATGTTATACTTACATACACATCATACATGAATCTCTAAGCGGAGGAGTGGAAATCCATAAGACTAAATTTTATATATATTAAATTATTATACATTAAATATATATATATATATTTAATGAGAAAGAGAGAGAGAGAGAGAGATAATATTTCATATATATAACGTATAAAATTTTATAAATCTTTCTGCTAAACAAGAGTTAGGCTTTTGATTTTTTTAAAAGGAAGGAAGAAATCATATCATATAGTTCCGATGGTTTACGAGTACTAACAATTACTACCTGCTAATTCTTTTGCCTATTTTTCTACAAAAAATGCATCATTTTTCTTGCTACTCTAGACTCGAACGCGTGTCTGGCCTCTATATTTGAACACATTACTCTACTCTACAAGCATCCATTTGATACATGCGCGAGATCTGGCGACATGTTACGATTTAGTGCACTTACGCGTGCGTGCATGCTAGGCGCAACTGCACTGCGACGCGGCGGAGTCTCGTGATGGTGGAATTATCAGGGCTTGCCGAGTAGAGCAGAAATTATTGGGTCAGACGCTTTTCACGATTCCATGACGGATTAAGGGTCGCACGTGTGGCGATATGTCGCGTAGGTCGACTTGCGCGTCTTAAATTTGTTGAGAATTTACTGCATTGCGGTTTGTGCGAGTGCACTCATCAGGGCAGACAAGAATTTTTTAGCAGACCTTTTAGCAGAGCGTATTCAGTGAGTATTTTTTGAATTATATTGTATATTGAAATTCTGCAATAAAATTATTACTTTAATATTATACTTACAATATTTTGAATATATTAATAATGTCGCGATTTTTATTATATAAAAAATTATTCTAAAAGTTAATATAGAGATAAATATATTATTATATTAAAAGAAATATAATATAACATGTCAAGATGCGCGTTTAATGCATTAAATTATTTTTGTTACTCTTCAGAATTCTTTTCTTAAATTAAAAATAATGATATTACGGTATTATATAGGCGGTATTATATAGTCAATTTGCTTTTACATGTGTTTCGTAACATGTGTTTTGAAGAATAATAATCAACGGTAACAGATATCCAGAAATTTGCATATTGCAATGATATTTCAATATTCATAAGGATATAAAAATATCTATTGCATATATATTGCACAAATCTTGAGATGCCACGCGCGTGCAGGATATTCTTAAATATTTTTAGCTTGCGATTCTAAGAAAGTATGTATGAAATTGGCATAAAGCTGAGAATAAGATATGACGTATGACATATATATATATATCCAATGTTTTAATTTTCTATTTGAATTCCATCTTAGGAGGCACGATGTAATATAAAAATAATGTAATATATAGATTATGTTAAAATTATAAAATTAAATATAGAGTTTCACAGTATTAATTGATGTGCATATATGTATGTTATAGCTTAATTCTTGATGGGTGTATATTAATTTACATATTATACATATTATACTTGTTTTGTCATAACTTAAAATATAAAACAGAAAAAAAGATATTAATTTTTTAATATGCGAGAGTTAATTAATAAAATTGCTTTTGTTTGTTAAAACAAAATGTGATTACATTAGAAATCAAAAATAAAAATATAACAATAAAAACAAGATGAAAATTGTGCAAATTAGAAACTTACATATTGCTTCCTCATCATTTTATTTCACTCACAAAACTTAAATTCCTTTAAGCGATTTTTTCAATTTTGGCTGCCTCATAGAGGAAGATATCTCAAAATTTGCAAAAGTTAAAGCGTGTACAAATATTTCTCAAACAATTCAAAATTTTATAAAAAATGAATCCTTTCACCGATCCTCTCCAAATTCAATACCAAACTTTAATGATACTCTATTCATTTTATGGATAGAGTATCATTAAAGGATGGTTGATATTGAATTTGATGAGAATTGGTAAGGGTTCATACGTATACATACATACATATATACATACATACATACATACATACATACATACATACATAAAAAATATGATTTTTCGACGTTTTAGAACAAAGACGTTCTAAACACATTGGCATAGAAAATTGGAAAAAAATTTTGTCACGAAAACAAAGCTTCCTCTATGAGAAAGCAAAAGAACAAAAAATAATTTTTTTACTTTTTTTAAATTCTTGTATGTTTCAGCTTTTATTAAATTTCCAAAGAGAAATTTACTTTCTTGTTTTTCAAAACAAGCAATTTTGCGAGAATCTTTGAAATTTTTAAATGTTTCATTACATGCATATATACATACATACATACATACATATATACAGATATTTTTAAAAAATATGATTTTTCGACGTTTTAGAACAAAGACGTTCTAAACACATTGGCATAGAAAATTGGAAAAAAATTTTGTCACGAAAACAAAGCTTCCTCTATGAGAAAGCAAAAGAACAAAAAATAATTTTTTTACTTTTTTTAAATTCTTGTATGTTTCAGCTTTTATTAAATTTCCAAAGAGAAATTTACTTTCTTGTTTTTCAAAACAAGCAATTTTGCGAGAATCTTTGAAATTTTTAAATGTTTCATGATTTTTTAAGTGTGTTCTAAAGTTACGTATAGATATATCTAAAATTTCTATAAAAATTTTAATTAAACATCTACATAAATTTTCCGCAAATTTCATTTGATAGATAAAATAAGACAAGAATGAATCGTGCGGTAATTGACTACGTTCTATTTTATCTTCCTCCAATCGATCGTTATCTTGGCACATTCACGCTACTAATTGCAAAATCGATTTACGATTACCACTACACTGCGCAATTACTAATAGTATAATTAAACTCGGATAAGACAGATCTGGGCTGTTATTAATCACGAAAGACGTATCGTAGAAAGTTACATTGGTTAAGTGCAATACAATAGCCGTGCGATTATTGCAATAAAGTTTGGTAATAAACGTTTGAAAGGATCATGCTGCCAGGATAAATTGTAAACTCAACTTAGGAAAATGTAAAGTATGACGATTGCTTGTTGTGACTGTTACGCTGCGATATCACGACTATTTAATTTACAATTTGCGCTTGTAAGACTTATAACGCACTTCGCATGCGGCTGTCATAAGGATCTCTCGCGATCCTTTTATCCTGCAGGCCGATATCCTGCAGAGAATTTTTATTTCTAAAAAGATATTACAGTTTTCTTTGACTATTATTGTATACAATAAGAGATTACAATTATATTCCGTTTTATATTAGTATAATTCTAATATAATTACAATCTTTAAAGAAAAACAAAATGCGAGCATGGTAATTTATAATCACATTTAAAAGTTACGATTATATTTTAAGCAGAAATTTATTGCATGTTCTATTTTTTTTAAAACCTGTATACATTTTTATACATTGCACGTCTTTTTTAAGTATCACTTTACGTTTAAATTTCAACAAAAAACAGGATTTTTAAGCATATTAATCTGCGAAACGAGTTTGGTAATATTTTATTCTTAACTCTTTATAATTTAACGTGATTTAATTATGACTTTATTAAAATATGTATACACAAGATATACATATCCTTATATTGCTTTTTATAAATCATCTCTCAATACAGCGTTGCTGTATATATTATATATATATAATTATATCTTTATCTTTATAATTAAGATTTTTGTTTAGAAGAAGAGACATATGTATATTGGCCATTATAATTAATCTATAAATTAAATCTACGTTATTTTCGCGAGCAGAAGAATAATTATATAGTTCATAGTGGCTTAAACTGCGGGTTTAAGTTAATTTGAACAATACATGTGCATATATCAAGTAAGCAAATCGAACATACATGCTGTATTACCACGCAAAGTGTCTTGATTCGGCCCTGTGTGCGTCGTTTGCTTCCTTTTACCTTCGTGTTTTACATGTAATGGAATGTTTGACTTGTTCTTGTTATTGTTGTTGTAATTGTTGTTGTTATCTTTCTTATTGTGTAATGTGTCGTTATTTGTTTCGTATCTTGATTTCCTCTCGATTGCTCCTGCTCGTTATATCTCTTTCTCATTCGTCGCATGTTTCTCTTAATGCACGCGTAATTCTTTCTTCGTCTCATTTCCTACATTCTCATTTCTCGATCTCTCTTCGTTTTTCTGTCTTTTTGGGACGGAAGACATCCAAAACTTTTCCCGAGCCTCTCGTCCTCGGGAGATTTATATACATCCTGCGAGCTCGAGGATCGTTCAAAGTCGATCATCCGTAGATCCGTAGATCACCAAAGACTCTTGACTCTCAAAATCGGAATGTAATTTCACACGATTGACATCTCAGCTCAATTACAGCATCAAGGAGCATTTCTTTCCCGAGGAGGACGAGGAGCAAAGAGAAAAAGAGAGAAAGAAAGAGAGAGAGAGAGGAAGAAAGAGAAAGGGGTAGACATAATGTACGTACTTGCTTAGTCTGGATCTAGAGATTAGAAGCTAGAGAACGATTGAGAGCTAGAATAAAAGTAGCGAAAATGCAAGTGTAAGCGAGAAAGTGTGAGAGAAAATAAGTGAGAAAGTGAGAAAGAGAGATAGAAAAATAGAGAGAAAGAGAGAGAGAGAGAGAGAGAGAGAGAGAGAGAGAGAGAGAGAGAGAGAGAGAGAGAGAGAAAGGGAGCGCGAAATGGCAATAAAGAATAGCAATGAGAGGAAGAGCGACAGAAGGAGAAAATTCAAACATGTTCGAAATGCCACTTGTTCCAGGACCTAAAGAAGCGCGATTCGCACATCTGCGACATGCAGGTCCTACAGCCACTTCCGGCCCCCACCAACACCGCCAACACCGCGCCCGTCATGACTACTTCCGGTGGGCAACCACCGCTCCCGGTATCGGAGACCGTTTGAATCGCGACGATCACGAGAACCGATCACGATCGTCTGTGTGTGATAATGCGTTAATCATGCATTATCACACCACCATTCACCTATAAACTCACCGCCGTCCTCCTCCACACCTGTGCTTGCTGAACCCGATGAACGAACCACGGTCGACTACGGTCGAAGCAACGGTGAGCCATCAATCACGATCTTTAAAGGGCGCAGCGCGAACCACCGGAAGTAGTCGTGGATCTTGTTAACCCGTGCTGCGCATTTTTGTTTCGCATGTTTCGGAAGTTCTGTAAGTGATATCGCGATCGTCTGTTTATTCAAAATTTGCATTTATTCTAATTTTTATGTAAAATTTATTTAAAAAATAATTTGATAAATTTAATTCGAACTTTAATTAAAAGCTTTGATTTAAATAATTAAATACTAATAATTAAATTTCTGTATATTTTTCTATTTGAAATATATATACATAAATATATATGACAAAGTCTTTAAAGTTAAACATTTATAATTAAATTAAAAGTTTTAAGTTTTAATTATTTAGTAAAAAAACTATTATTTTGAAAAGATTTATTTTATAAATAACTTTTAAGAAAGGGAGAAAGAGAGAGAGAGGGATTATGCCGCTTTTTGTTGCTACTGTAAATATATGGAGCTTCAGATAGGATCGATTTGTGTTGAATATACTCTCGAGCTATGATGCTCACTAGCACAACCACGATAAATTACGTGCATCGTGATTGCAAGTATATCGTTGAATTCACGCGCCATTAGTTCTGCTTACAAAATCTACTCGCATTTACTTCCGGCGATTCGCACTACTACCCTTGAATATATATGAATCAATTTCTATAGCTTGAGAAACTTGAGGTATGATGATTGAAATTTAAATAAAGTCACTCCAGTTTTATAGTCAGAATCGGAGTTGATTTATTCATTTAAAAAATGACGGCATTAGTTTTTTACGATAGACGGATAGTTTCCTAATATTTTTTAATCATTCTTCTTTATACAACTTTGACGTATATATAACAACTTTAATATATAGTCAATAATTTTGAAGTACTTTAAATTTGTTAATAAATATTAAAACATTTTCTGTAATTTATAGTAACGATGCGCGTACAAAATTTGTGTGTTTCTCATAAAGAGTTTCTTATTTTTAACCTTTGCCGCATTCAGGAAAAAGCAACCTCTCCTTTTTTTTCTATTACGAGGAGATCATGCCGAAAAGTAAACCAATCGAATCGTTCGAAAGCGGATTGACGATCGGGACTAGTCAAGAGGAAAGGTGATTTATGATCGGTCGGCGAGTATAAGACAATTTTCCGAGATTACTTTCACTTCGTTTGCCGCCTTGAAATACGGTGCAAAGCCGAGGACAGGCCATTCGCGGTTCGAGATTCGAGGTCGCCGGATGAACCCTGAGTGCAGGCAATTTTTTCGGATTTACGTCGGCTTTTCACGACGCGGCCTAGTTTCGTCGTAGATGCTCGCTGAATCGAGCTACGACAAAGCAATCTCCTCCGGTGAATCGTGGACAAATTTCTAGTGACATGCATCCTACAAGTGAATTGGATAATTGAAAAAGTCTACGTGTCTTGAATTTGGTGAAGTGGCTAAATTTATACGTAAATCTCTTGCATTCTTCTCACGTAGATGCATTGTTTTAAAAAGCAATTACATATAAATATCTTTTTTTGTCTACAATATTTTTTCTTCTTGATGGCATATTTTTTCTTTTATTTATTCGATGGAATCTTTTTCCTTTGCGTAAATTGTTGTGCGTTATTATAATTACAAGTAGTAATTAATTAAGATAACTATCTCTTACACAATTTCAATCATCATACAATCGCTATGTATCTTTTGCGAAGCGAATGTTTTGCTTCAATTTCAGGCTTGACAATTACTGCCTAATCAATATGCAGTGACATATATATTTTCATTCATATATTTTGTAGGCTTTATATAAATTCAACTTTTTTACAATCAACGTAGGCTTTTTAAAATATCTAGGCTTTTAAAACTGGCTTATAAAAAACCAGTTTTTCGACGCTTTATAAAAAGCTAAGTCTTTTTGTAAAAAGCCTGCAATATATATATATACACACACACACACATACAAATATTTAATATTAATTCGAACTCGTACAATTATGTGGCTATGAACTTCTCGCGCCTTTTAATTCCAGTAATAAAAATAAATTGTTCGCATCGATGCCACGCGAGGTGAAGATCATCATCAGGTTCAACAGCATTCTATTCGCGATTGATTCGCTCCTCAGAGGATGTGGCGATCGTTCGTTACTCGACGGGATTCATGGAGGATCTACAAGGAAGATCCAGATTATCGTGGATGTTCTTTCGCGATCTATTCCGCCGCGGATTGATTGTTATCGAAGCATGAGGATCGACGCGCGGTTTATCCTCTGTGATAATAATCCTATCAGGATTTGCGTCGTCTCGCAGATTTTCGTTTAACAGAAAAAACATCTCATGTTAACATGTCCTCGTTGCAGTCGCATATCGGATGGATTTCTGTATGGAGAAGAGAACGTCGAGTCTTTCCTACGGAAAGTCGTGCCGATTTACCGTTTAATTTACGCCAGCAGCGAGAGACGGGTTCGCGAAATGGGTAACCAGGTGTGGCTGAGCGATTGCAATTAGGGTCGCGAATTATACGGGATTTGTTCGTGTGGGGTCGTGTTCTCGAAAATTTTGCACTACTATTTCGTGTCAGACCGTTCTATAAATAATGTTCTTTCTTAATTAAGATTCTTGAAGGGAAAGAAAAGGCGCATACCGTTAATTGTAATTATTTAAATAATCAAGGATTTATTAATTAGTCAAGATTAGAAGTTTATTTGCACATTAGTGACGATGTTACTTCACGATTTTTAATGATTATTATAACAGTTATGAATACATATTAATAATCGGTGCTAAGCTGAAGCTCATACTTATTGTTAGTTCTATATGCAGTTGTTTGATTCTTTTATTGTCTTTGTATTAAAGAATTTGTATTATATGATGTTTTTTTGCATAATTACAATTCAGACAAATACATTTCAGATCAGGCATCCATTTAGCGATCAAGAGAAGAAAAATATGTATTTAGGCGTTTATTTCATGGTTTTATATTCCGAAATTATTTCCAGAAAATAAAACATTTTATCTTAATTGGTTACAGTATATAATATTACAGTCGAGAGAATTCTTAGAGAATAAAACTCTCTCACACACAAGTACCAATCTCTAGCACTATATATGAATTCAATGAGTTCTAATATGTATTGTATGAATTACATGCAGGGCATACAATTATGAAACTGTATACGTATATCATATAAATACTAATCGTTGAAGTTAATCAAACAAATTTAATAATTTGTATTATGTTATTTTAAACATTTTGATAATCTCGAATATACGTATATGATTAAAATATTATTTGAATATTATATTATAATTAAATGTTTATTGCACACATTACGCATCTATATTTCGCTATTTATTATTTTTGAACATCATTTTTATTAATATTAATATATTTCTGTAAATACATATACATTCTTATATAAAATTTCATTGTTTATTACACAATTTTTTAGAAAAAAATTATTATTGTTTAATGATTTAACGGAAGAGTTTTTAATAGTATAGTGTTATTTATTTCACACACATATTATGATAAAAATTATGATAATAAAAACCAAAGAGATCAGTACGAAATCAGGAGACAGAGAGACAGAACATATCAAAAATTCAAAAATGAAAGGCGCGGAGACATTAATTAATATAAAGTTATCGAAACCAAATGTAATTTATTATGATTGCTGCTTTTAATTATGGAAGAGAAGTTACGAAGAATTTCATTATTTCGACAAATAAAATTACTTTGATTTATTTATTTTTTTCATTACGTATTCGAGGTCAAATTATGTAATTTAAACAAACAATTATTTTGCAACAGAGAAAGAGAAAAAGAAAGAGATCAATATATAATATATATATATAAAACAACTGATACGCTTTCTTAAATAAATAAATTGCAGAAATTGTTGTCACGTTGTTATTTTTTTCTAGTGAGATTTGTATACTTTTTTCGTCTTTTTCATATATATTTTGTTTTGTCTTTTATATATTTAAAAAATATTTAAGAATGAATGAAATATGTGTCTGTATGTGTGTGTGTGTGTGTGTGTGTGTGTGTGTGTGTGTGTGTGTGTGTGTGACATAAATATTGCTTTATTGTGTATCTCTTGCAACAATATTTTTTCTTAAATATGTTTATGTTTTTTATATAGATTAACACGAAGTGAACATTATTGGCAAGACGGTTTGACGCGATATAGTCGAGATGTGGTTAACGAGTCGATGTAAAAATGGTAGGGACCTACGTACCTTTATATTCTAACTTAAGATGATGCCCTCGTTCTTTCAAAGCTTCGTGGCCGACTTTAGTCGATCGCGAGACTCTTAAGCAGTAATTAATTAAAACGAGATACCTCGTTCGATCATTTATTACGACGTTATCATAGCGTTGCTCGGCTGTAGCGATCGATCGTCCGCTTTCTTTTGCTATTCATGAAACAAACTTGCTCTGAGCGCTATTTTATGGAAAATAAAAAGTATCTTTTATTTATTTTATTCTGTTTCTTTGAGAGAAAGAGAAAGAGAGAGAAAGAGAGAGAGAGAGAGAGAGAGAGAGAGAGAGAGAGAGAGAGAGAGAGAGAGAGAGAGAGAGAGAGAGAGAGAGAGAGAGAGAGAGAGAGAGAGAGAGAGAGAGAGAGAGAGAGAGAGAGAGAGAGAGAGAGAGAGAGAGAGAGAGAGAGAGAGAGAGAGAGAGAGAGAGAGAGAGAGAGAGAGAGAGAGAGAGAGAGAGAGAGAGAGAGAGAGAGAGAGAGAGAGAGAGAGAGAGAGAGAGAGAGAGAGAGAGAGAGAGAGAGAGAGAGAGAGAGAGAGAGAGAGAGAGAGAGAGAGAGAGAGAGAGAGAGAGAGAGAGAGAGAGAGAGAGAGAGAGAGAGAGAGAGAGAGAGAGAGAGAGAGAGAGAGAGAGAGAGAGAGAGAGAGAGAGAGAGAGAGAGAGAGAGAGAGAGAGAGAGAGAGAGAGAGAGAGAGAGAGAGAGAGAGAGAGAGAGAGAGAGAGTAATATTTTAAATATAATTCCGATTGGTCTCACGATGTATATATATTGTGTATATATATATATATACAATATTAAAATTGCTTTAAGCGGATGAAATTTTTACAGTTCTCCGTTTAATATATTGATTTATCTTTGTGAATTAAATTATTTATTTTACGACTATTTTATGGCCAATTCAATAAAATTTTTAAGGCATTATAGCAAAGCATTATAACGCGTTGTAATATTTATGGTATTACAAGCAATATTATCGACTATCGGAATAAATGCATTATATGAGGTTATTAAAAAACATCATATCAAGTAAACTTCACAAAAAGAAAATAAGAGTTATATGAAGTTACATGATTCTATAGCACCGCGGACGATTGACTGATGCAACCAGATATGCCGAAAAAAAATGAAGAGAAGGAAAATAAAGACATTGTGTTTGAACAACAGAAATTGTTTAACAATAATGTAATGTGATGTAAATATTTGCGGAGTCTAGAAAGGAGAGAGGAGAGAAGAATGCACAGCCTGTCTGTAATAAATCTTTGTAATTAATGATGTGATTCGCCCTTTTAAACAGAAGATTAACGGAAAGAATATATATAAATATGTATAGAAAAAAGATTATATTATATAACGTAAATATGAAGGAAGAAATAAACATATGAGTCTATGATATACACGAACACACACGATACACGTACGTGAAGAGTGCACTCACTCATTGCGATAACACACTCACATCTACTTGCAGCACCCTTGCATCGCGCAATAAAATAAATTCTAAATTGTTCCGTACTAGAAAGTGTGCCTGAGTGTGTGAGAAACCAAACAAGTGTTTAAAAAAAATGTATGTATATTGCATAGAGGGCAATGAATCCACAGCAAAAACGGAACTTGAGAAATTACCACCGCTACAGCCTTGGCTTAACTGTGAACGACCTATTCGATCTACTCGTCCTTTGCCAGTACAACAGGATAGCAGCTCGGATGAAGATATGGATGTGGATAAAAATCAACAAGAAGACGATGGATGGACAGTAGTTACAAATAGGCGAAGCAGATAACTCCCAACTCTGTATAAAAGATATCTTTATTCAGCGCTTTTCTTCTTCATATGTATGTATGTATGTGTATATATATATATATATATATATATGCATACACACACAAAAATGAGATTAATAAATGAAGAAATTAATAAATACATAATGCAACCGGTCTCTCGTTGTTCAAGGAGTACCGGTTATATTTGAGATAGTGTCGAAAAAAGGCAGCAGTTTAATTAAGGAACGGCAAAAGCGCGAGTCAAATGGAAAAAAGATATCGCAAAAATCGTCACATGAAATTTTTTTTCAAGATTAGCTGTTAATAATTCACTTCATTCGTCATGGACGATCGCGCACGTGCGCGTTTTCGCCTGCATTTTCATCAATAATTAATTTATTCGCGGGACATACATCGTGTACTTTTCCTGCGTGTGTGCCAAACTTATGAACAAGTTACTTCTGAGCTTTGAAATGTGCTGAACAACCGTCCTTTAATATCACACATACATTTACATATTTCTCAATTTTTAAATAAATTTATAATGATATAATGTTCAATTGTATTATCATATTATCTGCATGATGTTTGCTTAATGAAAATTGGATATAAAAATTCAAGCATTATGTTAATAAAATTTATTATGTTAACGTAATTTCTTCATTGATGTTATATGTTTATTGTAATTTAGATTAATCTTTCACAGGCATTTTATTTTTGGAGATTATTTTCGATGCTGTTATATGTGTATATATTGTAATTTTAATCTATTAAGCGATCTATTTGATGCACCTGGGATGAATTTTCTCATAAATCGATGTCAGGAGAGAATATTGAATTACTTTAATTAATTTAATTAACACGTAACATAGTTTATATATGACATCAGAGAGATCGACGACGCGGCGCGTCGCGATGCAGTTGATCGTCCTGTGAGCTAGCCTGTAATCAATAAATAATTCGTAAGTAATTTAAGCGTGCAATTAAGAATAAAAAGATTGAATAGAGACTTTCGTTGATGTTGTGACTCGTAGCGCGTGTGCGTGCTTGTTCGTGTGTGTATGTGTGTGTGCGCGCGTGTGTAAAACTAACGCGCCAAGATAAAATTTCGCGAATTTCAGGAATTTCGCGAAAGTATTTGCAATTACATGTCGCCTTCTCTTTTAATGTAAGAATTAAAATTTTGATCTAAATAGGATGCTATTACATTGTTCTTTGTTGTTTCATCTTATTTCTTGGAGGAAGTACGTTTTGACATATCTGTAATAAATTTCTGAAGAAAAACTTAGTTTGTTTTTGGTTCTTATATAGATGTTTATACTTTCGTATTCTTATACACGTAGACATTTGTGCCATCAAACTAATAATTAGCTTCAATTTTGTAATATTTATCTTTAAAAAAAAAATACAAAACAAAGACAATTTTACTTCAATTTAAAATTAAATAATATATTCTACAAATTCGCGATACATTATTTTATTGGCGCATAACGAGAAGAAAAAATGAAAAGAATTGTGTGAATAAACAGCGAGTAGTATGACTACAATAACGCTACTGTAAATGGCAACAGCAAGTCTAAAAGGAGCAGGAACAACAAAAGCAACAATACTGAAGCAGACCGAAGATAAAAATGAGTCTTTCACAACTTACTACCGTACTGCCAATATTTTCCGAAGCAACGTAATAATTTTAATAAGGATATTAGGATGAAGAGTATAAGAAAAATGCGCACTCGTCAGAAGTTTTTCCTTTCGTTTCTTTTCGCCGCTCCAAGCCTTTGTGAATTTATTTGGAGGGAGGAAATATCTAGACAAGTTTTGATCTATGTATCGTTGAAGATATAAAATGTCGGAGGATCGAAAGATATAACGAATGCACGTCGCTCAGTGGGAAGTTTTTGAAACGATAAATATGCATATTTTGATATTAAAAATATGCCGGAGCTGCATTTGCGATCTTAATTAAAAAAGAAGACGTGAAAACTATTCTAAAAAATTCTAAAAAAAAAAATTTTATGTATAGTTGTAATATATTTCTTAAATATTTGTCATCTACTTTCCATGAAATGCTACTGCGTTTCTAAAGAAAAAAGGAAAAAGAGAAAGTGTAATGAGAAGTTAAAACATCTTTTAATTAAAAGTTTGTAATCTTAAACTATTTCAATTTTTTTTTTTAATATCTTGCACTTAAAGATTTAGATTTCAATGTTACATGTATGATATACATATAAAACGATTAGATTTTTGTCTTAGAGACGGAT